AACAATGAAAACAATCCTACAAAACTATGTACAAAAGTGTTTTAGAATGACAAAACTCCTGCTGGGCAAGATGTGCAAAAGATCACAGTATAGACAATATCCGTCATGTGCAGGGATAATACCTCCAGGTGTTGATGTAAAGGGGTTGATTGATGAGGCCACATGCAGAAGAAAAGGCTGGTGCTGGTCCATCATCGGTGATTAGACTGGACTTCTGGTCCTGATAACATGTCTTGCCCTGCAGGGAGTTTTGTCATTCTAAAAACACTTTTGTACATAGTTTTGTTAGGATTGTTTTCATTGTTTTATTAATTTGGGGGCGTGTCTGTTTGATTGATATGTTCCTGGTCTGCAATGATTTGCATCGGATGACGCTGGCAGGCCGGACTGAGAGGTCATCACCGGAGGGAGGCTTGGGTCGTGTGTGCATCGTATTGAATCAGTTGTGTTAAATTTCTGTTATGTTTTCTTAATATGTCGGCGGAGGAGTGGAATTGTTGCCACCGAACAGTTTTGCTGTTAGTTCTTAGTTTTTAATGAGTTTTCGGTTCACAGTAATTATGGCTCGTTCTCGGCACTAAAACACACTGGAGAGACGCTGATAGTACCAGTTTTTCTCTCGGTGAGTTAAATGTTTATTTGTCTTTTAACGTTCCAACAGTTTGTTAACGTGTATGCATGCTCTAAAAAGCTAGAGCGTTGGTTTCCCCAAACGTGTTTTGACCGGAGAACAGGGAAGGGGGACAGTGGAACATCCAGAATTAATATTAGAGTTAATTGAATTACAAATGCACTTTGCTAACCTAGCTAGCTAACTAGCTGAGCTGATTACTTAGTGTTTGCTATGCTAACCGTACCGTTTGTCGCCAAAACATGCAAAAACATTTGCAGGAACAAGGATAAATATAGTTGAACAATTAACTCACTTCTCATGCCGGTGATAGAGTTTTCCTACATGCAAGCAAAACAATTCAGTTTATCTCATTATAATGTATTTTCTGTCTCCTCTTACTCCTGGTGTCTTGTTTGTATTGAGTTCAATACACAATATATACTAGAACATTATCTTGTGGGGTTTGTCATTTTAATACTGTGAATTCATACACAGAAGTCCTCAACTGAAGCAGGTATTCATGCACCTGTCCGACAGCTGGTATATGTGTGTGATTAAACTGTGATCCACCATGTCTGAACTTAAAGTGTTTGCTTTTACTGTCATTCAGGAGGGAATCCACACTGAAAAACTGAATGACTGGTGCCCACAGAAGGAGAACTCATGTATGAACAAAGGAGACTTACACGGACATCCTTAGTTCATCAAATGGCTGTGATGAGGTGATGATGACGATGCCATGAAAACCACTTCACTCAGGCTTCCTCTGATGAGAGAACAGACCAGCTGTTTAGACATTGTTATGTGCGGTCAGAACTTGGCCTGCTTTTAGTTCCTGGCTTGCTCCAGAAGCCTCAAATGATGTCACTTCCTCTTGTGATGTCATTAAAAGCACAGTATATTGGTTATAGACAAAACATGTTAATGTGACCGGTGGTAATCAAAATGAGGGACACACAAAATCATTAACATTTTTTACAAAAAAGATATGTGTTTATTAAATAAATATCTGATGTAAATAGGGACACACATATATCAATCCTGACAGTAATAAAGGTATTGATTTTAAAAAAACAACATTTAATGTGATATTTTTGATACCAAATGTCAAGTTGTTCATGTTCCAGGAAAAAATGGAAAAATACAATGTTAGTCTTTTATAAATTAGGTATTTCTCAATTTAATATCATGTAAGATACTTACTGAATGGTTTTATGAATTTGGGAAACTACTTTTGCACATTTTTGTGTGCCTTATGCATCTCATCAAATGTTGCAGACCCAAATGGCTCCTGTTTCATAAAAAGACTCATCTATCTTACTGTATAGAATAAAGAGGTACAGCTTATTGCAGATCAGCTTCTGTTAAGGCATGTTACATGTGTGTATACATGTGCTTGCGGGTTGTGGGACAAATTTGGTTTTGTGAAACCATCACGTGAGGTTATTTTGGCCAGTCGGTGACAGCTTCAAAAGGCTTTTGTAGCAAGGGACACCTGCAGTGAGCTGGGAGATCAGAGATGTCAGGATTAAGTCTCTACAACATGAATGAGACTTCAATGTAATGTCCTGTAACAGATTGATACGATGAGGAGTGAAGTACATGCCACCAAGCAGGAGGCACGTTCAAATGTGCTCCAGGAAGTTTGTTAGATACTTTAATATTAATCCTCTACGGACAATCTTACCATTAATTGTGTCATCAGTTCAGCTCTTTCTTGTTTCAAACTTTCTGCATGATATAAAAAAATATAGTTCAACTGAGCTTCAGCGCAGTCACCTGGATTGTTAAAGTGTGTTTTGTCGTATATGCTAATAAGGCTGCGCTGCCTCTGTTGACGGGATTGGCCGGAGCAGAAGGAGGAGCCTCCGACTCCACGGCCATCTCTATCTATTGGTGCAAGCGTGACCCTCCACCACAGCTGTGCCGTTTAAGCATCAGAGGGAGGAGAGTTTAAGAGCCGACATGGCACATCGATAGTTTCGCGGCTGACATGATAGGCAAGCTCGCCTCTGTGCTCCTTTTGTGAAACATTTGAGGTGGTGTAATTATGTTGAATTTGGTTTGAGATGCTGGTGTTGATTGTTGGGACAGGGCTGAGGTTTAAAATTTCTGCTTGTGCATCCACACGCTTAGAAAAAGGCTGTTAGGACACATTAGGAACAGGGGCGGGCTATCTTAGTGGTTGTTGGTTGGTTGGAATTCGCATAGTTTAGGCTCTTTGTTTGGCGCTCTGTTCCCTACTTTCAGTCATCCTCTTGCCGTTGTTTTGTATATTTGTTTACTTATTTACCTTCCTGTTAACGGCAATAAATTGAAATCAGTAAATCTGATTTACCGAATAACACCTGGTTTTATGTTGCTTTCCCTTTTCCTTCTAGCTGGGGTCGTAACACAAAGGCCTGCCAATATATGGAAGACTTGGGAAGATGGATGCCCAGAGCCAACGTATGGTTGTAGTAACTGAAACCTGGCTCTATGAGCAGATCCGCCGTCAGTTAAGGTGACAATACTGGTAAAAATACTTCCCGGCTGTTGTATCTTCTTTGGCTTGCAGAAATCAAACGTGCCTGGGTACTGAGGATGCAAGTCCCCACAGCGTCTGAGGTTTTTATTCTCAGCAAAGTT